TATTAGACAAAATATTGTGCTACTTTTTGGTCTATCCATTATTCCCTCTATTTGAATCAGTCTATAATAATCAAATGAAAAAGTGAAAAGGGGGGGGGGGGGGGGGGGGAGATTGTAAAGGAACTGAGTTAAGTCAAAAAGAACGGCAAAAGATAAGTTTGTATTAATTATGATCTGGTGGAGTATAAATTTCCACATTAATTAATGTGATATCTACCGAGTTGTCTATTAAAGACAAGAGTAATTTAAGAAAAATAATTATATTCACATAGTCCATAAAAAAATTATGCCTTCATAATTATTTTTACACTATATATAACATTATACATTTATTTATACTATATACAACATTATACATTTATTATACAAAAATATAGATTTACATAAATATGCATATTAGTGTATAAAAGGTGTTCACACACATTTTTACATTGTTATACACCTTATACATAATTATACGACAGAAAAAAAGTTAAAAATACCTCGCTCTTAATTTGCACCGCAGAACCCATGACAAATTCAAAATCAAGTGACCCATCCCAATTTTAACTATTAATTTTTTTTAAGAAACCCAACCACTCAATTCATTCTCAATAGGAATGTGTATCGATTGGTTCAATACATCAACTCAATTTATCTATTTTCAATTTATGAACACGATAAATCGATAAATCAAACCAAATAAAATATCATTTGAAATATTGGTCTCGTTCCTTGTTAAAATTAAGAACCTAAATATAATACAAGAGGTATATCTGAATTGAAATTGTAGTAACAAAAAAATAATTGAAATGGACGAGATAATTATTATGGAATTTTTTTTCTTTTTCTAAAGTATAGTATCTCACATTAAAGTGCGACTAATCCAAATTCGTCTTAAGTAAAGCCCATTCTAAGGTAACAATTGCTATTAAGGATACCCAGAGCTCGAACTTAAAATTCAAAATTAAGAAAGGATAGTCTCACCTACTACACTACATTCTTTGGCGGGCGATAATTACTATGGATTGGTAGGGTATGGGGCTAAAAGGAGTAGGTTTGGATAATTGGTTGAGTTAAGGAAGAAAGAGAAGAAGGAAGTTGAAGGGATTGATTAATGTGATAGACTTATAGCCAACCCACATAGCTTAGTGGGGGGTCTCTCTTTGGCTGGCTGAAATGGTAGTTTGTTTGTTTTTTTTCATAGAGTAGATCGCCGGATTTTAACATGACACGCATTGCTATTAACGATACGTGTCTGCCTTCTCCGCCTAAAATCAACCTCTACCTTCCATTTTCTATGTACCCATTCCTTCCAAATATTCCTCTCTTCCATTAATTCCATTTCTCTGTTACACCCACCTTCACATTTCCCATTTCATTCTTGAAACTACCCTTTTCATGGCGCCTTCGAATACCAATCCTGTTGCAGTTGCAGATGAAGTTCTTCAGAAATCAAGAGTCACCGTTGTTGGTAGTGGAAATTGGGGTAGTGTTGCAGCCAAGCTCATTGCTTCTAACACCCTCAACATCAATTCTTTCCACGGTTTCTTTTATACCCTTTTCGCCTTTTCTTCGTTCTACGTCTAAATTGAACGTTCATTTATGTTGTTTTTAATTTTCTGGTGTAATTTAGATGAAGTTAGGATGTGGGTCTTTGAGGAGACATTGCCATCCGGTGAAAAACTCTCCGAAGTCATCAATCGGACCAATGTAATTGCCCTGTTTACTCTTCTGTTAATTATGCTTTCTAACGCTTGTAGTAATATGGAGATCAATATTTTAACTGGGTGTTTTTTTTTTCACAGGAGAATGTTAAGTATCTTCCTGGTATAAAATTACCTAAAAATGTTGTTGCAGACCCTGATATTGAACATGCAGGTATTACACATTGTTCAATTCTTGTTGTTCTTGTAGTATTAACAAGATGTTAATAATTGAGCTTAAAATGTAGTTTGTGGAGTGTTTTAAGTCCTTTTTAACATTTTATAGTGGGGGAAATTGTGCAGTGAAGGATGCTAACATGTTAGTGTTTGTGACTCCTCATCAATTCATGGAGGGGATTTGCAAGAGGCTAATTGGGAAAATTAGGAAAGATGCTGTAGCAATTTCCCTAATTAAAGGAATGGAGGTCAAGAAGGAAGGACCTTGCATGATCTCTACCCTCATCTCTGAAATTCTTGGGATCAGTTGTTGTGTTCTAATGGGAGCCAACATTGCCAATGAGGTTTATTTCGAGAAATTTGTTGTTACATGTTAGTGTCAACCAACTTAAAATGAATGTGGCTGAGAATTTCAATTGCAGATTGCAGTTGAGAAGTTCAGCGAAGCAACGGTTGGATATAGGGAGAACAAAGAGATTGCGGAGAAATGGGTTCGCCTATTCAATACTCCTTACTTTATGGTCTCAGCTGTGAGTGCTGCATAACTGCATTTGAACATATTACTAGTTTTAAGCTTTTCTGGCATGTAAACTGATCAACCATTCTCTGATAAGATATCCAATTAATCTAATGGAAATAGGTTCAAGATGTGGAAGGAGTCGAACTTTGTGGAACTCTTAAAAATGTTGTGGCTCTAGCAGCAGGTTAATATACTTGTGCTTTTATTGTCTTGTATCTTATCATTAGTTGATTCTAGCTTTGAGTAACATAGAATTTAAATTTGTGATATACCAGGCTTTGTGGACGGCCTCGATATGGGAAATAACACTAAGGTAACAGCCAGAAAGATATCGAATCTCTGTGTTTTAAGTAAATGGAGCAATTTGTTCCCCTGATTAATGTGTCTTCTTTGTTTCTAAACGACCGAACAGGCTGCAATAATGAGAATTGGCTTGAGAGAGATGAAGGCCTTATCCAAGCTATTGTTTCCTTCTGTCAAAGATAATACATTCTTTGAGAGTTGTGGAGTAGCAGATCTGATAACTACTTGCTGTAAGTTGGCAGTTTCCATTCTACTCGTGTATACCATTTACTCATGGTAATAAACAATCATATATGATTTTATATGCAGTGGGAGGAAGAAACAGGAGATGTGCTGATGCTTTTGCAAGGAACGGAGGAAAAAGGTTTTTCACTCTGGCTTAGCTCTTCCTCCTAAATATGGACAAGAAGACAGTGTGCTAATTCTTCATCTTGCTGGTCTGTTTAGGTCTTTTGATGAACTTGAAGCAGAGATGTTGCAAGGCCAAAAACTGCAGGTACTTAAGTCTGATTGTTGATTATCTGTATCTGGTGTTGAAAATGCATATACACATTCAAATGCTCCACAAAAGTACAAAGCATATAAATCCAGAATGTCTTTCAACTGTGGGGGAACTGAAACATGCCAGAATATCTAGCACAAAACTAGAGAATTTACTGCCTTCTTGATGGTTCACCTTTGAGAACAAGTACATGTTCTGAAATCTCATATACCAATATATGTTATATGGAATTATAAGCAAGGGAATATTGTATTCTTCATACTTAACTAGCTACTTTAAAACAAATGGAGTAATTGATATTTATCCACTGCTGCAATTATGTTACTACTTCAGCAAGTTGATACCTTTGCTATGTTCAAAATTTTCTTGAAGGGTGTCTCTACAGCAAAGGAGGTTTACGAGGTTCTAAGTCATCGAGGATGGTTAGAATTATTCCCCCTTTTCTCAACAGTTCATGAGATCTGCAGTGGCCGTCTTGCTCCCTCAGCCATAGTTGAATATACCGAGCACTCAGCCAGATTGCCCTTGCTGTAAAGTTCTGCTCACTTGAACTGATATGCAGAGAGTTGAAGTTGATATATAAATCTAGATACTCCAGATTTTGGTTCCTTATCAGTCCCTACTTCTCTTGTTTTTCCCCCTTATAATGAATAGTACAATTTTGAGGAGGGGATGGTGTCCTCCTCATAAGCCATCAGCAATTTGATGCCAAGAAATCATAGCATTTGAATTGCCTTGTGTTTTCAAATTTCTCTTGGTTATGGAAAATGAGATGCATTTTTCCTCACTTTATTTTATCACTGTTGTTCAAGTAGAATTTTCCCTCTCTTGTTAACCAAACCACCTAAGGGAATTATCTAGTAACACAAATATAAAAGAGTAAATTTATAACATCACCTATTTGATTCAAGCGATAATTATTTTAAAGGATTTTACAAACAAATGCATATCTTGAAAACCATAAATAGTAACCAACTCATTTCACTCTTTACCCACACCATCAAACTTTGAATAAATTTTACAATTTGGTTTTAACTATCAACCAGTTCGTATTCTCTCCATTCTATCAACACTCTTCCGGGCTCTTTCTAATTGGTGATCGATGCTTCTCCTTGATTTTTCAGTGCAGTCCACACTTCTCCGAGATCTCTCCATTTGTTCAAAAGAGATCCTTAGTTTTTCTAGTTTGTCTGTAATAGCATTACTGGAATGATTCTTTAACTTCTCAGGCCTGTCTGTGCTGTGTCTCGGTTTTTCTCTACGGTCACTGCTTTTCCTTGAAGCTTCAAAAACATCTGTACTCTTTCTTGGTGGCTCAAACTGCTGGTCTGTGCTTTTCCTAGAACTGATCCTTTGTGATTGGGACCTTTCAATAGTTGCTACAAACTTCTTTAGGTGTCTGATATATTCTGGATAGAGCTCCAAGTCGCAATGGTTCCCTCCCTTGATCCATAAAGGCTCATACTTCTCCTTGCATAATTCCCAGAGTTGCTTGCCATGTGAAAAATCAACTACTTCATCTGCAGTTCCCTGCAATATCAATTAACACCACAGACTCAACACACCGTAGAATGTTTGCAATGACTGATGCTCGAAGGGGAAACATAAAATATGCAGTATTAATTTTGTTCCTACCATTTCTAGTTAGTCTTGCGTCTCTGATTTTTGTGTAGAATCGAAACAACAATCATGCTATGATTTCAAGAGGATATATAAATTTAGACATGAAAACTTTGGTCCTTCAATATCTTTCGTTTCTTTGTGAATTATAAAATGCACAGCCTAATTGTATCTCGAAACATATCATAATTCATGAACAAGGTAAAATGGACAATTCAACAAATTGTGTTAGCTTAGTCAAAGGTAAATGCCACACTTACATGAATGATGAGCACGGGACAATTAACCGAAGGGATCTTGTCAATATTCTGCAACACAATCAAGAAAGCATTTCATTTAGTGAGGTAGAAAGGCCCCAACCTTTCACATCCATAAATGCAAATGCAATCACATTTACATTTGTAAATACTACTAGCAGAAACAACCACACTAAAGAGATGAATCCTACCTTGTAAATGTCAAACCAGTACGTGCGCTTGACAGGATACATGACTCGTAAACCTGAAAGAAGGGGACTGTGCAGAATGACTGATCTTAATCGTGGTAGACGAGCTGCAAGATCCAAAGTAGGCCCACTACCAACTGATTGGCCATAAAGTATAACATCTTCCTGCTTTGTGCCATAGTTTTCTTCAAGGCACTTATATGCAGCTTCAATATCTGCATAGGTATTCTGCTCACTTGGCTGCAAATAGCAAATACAAGACCATGTAAGATATTGTCAAAGTCTATTACACGTGAAAAGCGCAGCATACGGTATGATTTTAGCAAAGATATGAAATGATGTTTAAAGCTACATACCTTACCAGTTGACTGTCCATACCCAGAGTAGTCATACCTACACAAAATTAAGGGGTATTAGGAATATCAATTAGCGTATGTTTGTTTTGTTAGATAGTTTTCATGCAAATCGGGTGATATGGAATAAATAGGAGCAGATATTTCCCGACTTAACAATGGTAAATAATAAAGTCAGTCGATGGTCTTGTCTTCCTGATGCAAATTCCAAAATGAGGAAAATGTTCCACTCTAGATTCACTGGTACCAAACTGGAAGCAGTTTAAGGCCAATCCACTATGACGGTATGACCTTTATGGGGATTTGACAGCAAACTGATCTAATAAAGATTTCAAGTTAGTAAATGGTGTACCCAACTTATGACACCAATATATTTGACGTCCTACACAAAGCCCTAATGTTTTTTACCAGATATTTTAAACTAAGACTTGTTAAAACTATGTTCAGCTCATTGTTTTAGCCAAACAACTAGTAATGGTGAACTACTTTAACTTGAGTCCATATAACTCCTAACCATGTTCAGAACATTAAATTACAGCAAACCTAATCTTGTTTCTGAGTTTCCTAAACAAAGCCTCAGATTCAGTGGTTCCATGGTTTTAAAAACTACTAACCAAGAAAATGTCATCACAAAGTGGAGGATTATTGAACATATTTATGCTAATGAATAGAAGGATAATGTCATTAATAAACTCATATATTTCTGCAGATTACAATCACATAGAAGGCTAACAGGCTGCAGTAACAAGCAATATATTCTTTTTCCCTAAAGCACACAGTTAATGAATAATGCCTTGATGCACATACTGAACTACTTTGTATCCTATAGAGAAATAGTTCTCAGAAAATTGGAATCACTAACAAGCTTGCTTCTGGGTGTTAACATCGTCTCTACGGAGCAGCAGATAACCCTGTGTCTAGTTCGGTTTGAACTTCGAAGTCTGAGAAATAGCTACAACTGATATGGCTATAAAATACATTTATCTGAGTCCAGAGCCAAAAGGATAACTTTTTTTTTTTGCAAAAATTCCTAAAGGGCAACAAATAAATGAAAAAAACCAAAGGGGCAAAGGCGCATGCCACCCCACGCCTTGCACCAAAATATGTAACAGTGTTAAGTTAGAGAAAGGTGCATGGCCCCACATGCCTTGTAAGGCGCAGGGGCTCCCACGCCTTCCTCAAAGTTTTTTATATTTTTCAACTAATTATGATAATCTTGTGGTTTTCATCTATCAAGTTATCAAGGATTACTGGTGTGAGAATGGATCTAGATTTTAGTCTTCTTGAGACAGGCTCCCTTGCTTTGGAAATAATTGTCACAGTTTTCACCCAACAGGTAATTTTAGTTGAAAATATAAAGATTTAATAGGAGTCCGGAACCAAAAGGGCAATAAAAATTTTCGAAAATTCCAAAGGGCAACTAAATTATTTATCAAATCAAAAGGGTAACAAATTTTAACAGCGTTTAAATTAGGGTTTCCGCCGCAAGGCGCAGAAACCCATGAGCCTTACAAGGTGCAGCAGCTTTTAGCCTCGTAAGGCTCAACCGCCTTGAGCCTTACAAGGCGCAAGGCTGTCTGCGCTTTGCAGGCGATTTTTTTTTTTAAAAAAAAAAGTGATTTTATTTTTTGAGTTGTTATTAATTTCGAAATACCATAGATATGCTACTCCACTAATTAAAAGTTAATACAAATTCAATAAATTATAACTAAATGTATGTATAAAGATTTGTTCTCTAAAAACTGTGTTAAATCTCCTTGAAAATTAACTTCTTTCAAAATGAAAAATATTTTACGTAGAAAGCTTTAATTATAAGTGTTTATAAATTTTACGCATAAAATTTTTGTTGCCCTTTTGGTTCCGGACTCGAAAATAACTATTAAGCGTACATTTTTCTTTAATTTATAGTGGCTAGAGGCGAACTTAGGATTTGAAGATTTTGAGCCTTGTAAGTTGTAAGTCTTCTTACACATTTTCACTTTCACTTTCACGTGAAACTTTCAGTGTTGAATCAAATCAACACTGTAGTTTCACGTGATTTATCACTTTATCTAATAATTTTTTACTACTAATTGAAGTATTTTATTTTTTATTTTCGATGAAACATATACCGCGTGAAACTTGTACAAATTCAACACTGTAAAAATAAATCACACGAAACTACAGTGTTGATTTGATTCAACACTGAAAGTTTCACGTGAAAGTGAAAGTGAAAATGTGTAAGAAGACTTACAACTTACAACTTACAAGGCTCAAGGGGCAAGTAGCCTTGTTAGTTTTTAATTTATTTATTTTTCAAAACTTTTAGTTTTTGATTTTTATATGTATAGTTTTTAATTAATTTTTTAAAAATTTTGTTTGTTTGTTATTTTAATATAGTATTTTTTAACTATTTTTTTATCACTTTATCTAATAATTTTTTACTACTAATTGAAGTATTTTATTTTTTATTTTCGTTGAAACATATACCGCGTGAAACTTGTACAAATTCAACACTGTAAAAATAAATCACGTGAAACTACAGTGTTGATTTGATTCAACACTGAAAGTTTCACGTGAAAGTGAAAGTGAAAGTGAAAGTGAAAATGTGTAAGAAGACTTACAACTTACAAGGCTCAAAGTCTTCAAATCTTGAGTTCGCCTCTAGCCACTATAAATTAAAGGAAAAGGTACGCTTAATAGTTATTTTCGAGTCCGGAACCAAAAGGGCAACAAAAATTTTCTACGTAAAATTTTTAAACACTTATAATTAATGCTTTCTACGTAAAATATTATTTTCAAGGAGATTTAACACAGTTTTTAGAGAACAAATCTTTATACGTACATTTAGTTATAATTTATTGAATTTATATTAACTTTTAATTAGTGGAGTAGCATATCTATGGTATTTCAAAATTAATAACAGCTCAAAAAATAAAACCATTTAAAAAAAAATCGCCTACAAAGCGCAGACAGCCTTGCGCCTTGTAAGGCTCAAGGCGGCTGAGCCTTGGCTCATGGGTTTCTGCGCCTTGCGGCAGAAATCCTAATTTAAACGCTGTTAAAATTTGTTGCCCTTTTGGTTTGATAAGTAATTTAGTTGCCCTTTTAGAATTTTCGAAAAAATTTGTTGGTTCCGAACTCAATTTAATAGCACCTAAGAATCAACAAGGGTTGTGGTGGAGTGGTGTTCGAATCTTCTTGGATACAGAGTCATCTTTGTTAGGGAGCGTTTTACCTCCCAATGTGAAACTTTTCGATGCGAATACAGAATTAGTCGGATTCCAATCGGGTACCAAACACCGAGCGGGAAACAAAAAAACAGCACCTAAGAGAAATAAGCAAAACTGATAAATTCATTTGTCGAATAATTACATCATTAATCACACTACAAACAAAAATTAGTTATGAACTTGTTGCTAATTCATCACTAAATTACTACTAGCTATTAGAATCTTATGATAATCCATCCTAATGCATTGCTATATAGAATTAGCGACGAATTTTGTTATTTAGCCATATAATTTTACCGTGCTTTCTATTTAATTTTTTCAGCAGTGAAATATTAAAGTGAATAATGACACTTAGAATTACTAATATATTACAGGATGGAACATCTCTATATTAAAAGATTAGTCCTTTATATATATGAGGAAGGCGTGGGAGCCCTGTGTCTTACAAGGTGTGTGGGACCACACACCTTCCTCCTTTAACTTAACGACTGTCACGACGTTTGGGGCAAGGTATCGGGTGGCCTGCGCCTTTGCCCCTTTGCTTTTCTTCCATTTCTAATTTCTTTGTTGCCCTTTTGGAATTTTTGCAAAAAAAAAAAAAAAAAGGTTGCCCTTTTGGCTCCGAACTCACATTTATCCTACTACCATACTTGACAATGGATTTTGTTAAGGCTTGAATATCATACTACAAAAGCATTTGGGAACCATTGAAAGAATCAGAGCCCAACTTTGATCCAAAGTATAAAGATCTATAAAGGGTTCAGTTGGTAGTACTTTCAAGCTTAACGTGTCCACAAAATCATACATAAAAATGCGTAGAAACTTAAATTTAACATTGATGTGCTTGAACTTCCTGGTCACTAGGCCCACAAAGACACGTGCTGTGTTTCTTATCCTTAAAAGTTATATACAAAAACAATCATGCAAACATCATTACTTAAACACCATTTTATTCTCTTCTTGTGGATTTTCATTTAAGATCAATGATCTTCTCTTTAACTCCCCCTAGCGGTCATATTTCAGAAGACTGATACATAATTTGTTACCGGGCATACAGATATAACCCTATTACAAATTACAAGTTTACAACTGCTGATGACTCCTGCAGTGGTAAGGAGGGCACCCAGCGGGGGGAGAAGTGTCTTCCTAAAGGTGAAAGGAGCGTGATTTATCCAAATGTTGACCCTCTGGAAAGTTGAAACTACTGAAAGGGTTTCATCCATCTTCATTGAACATCATTTATCTCACAAAGTCCAAGATGGCATCCCTTATGCAAAACATTGCCAACCATTAGCTAAAACCTATGGCATCAACCAGTCTAAAATTTGGATCCCTCCATTCCACATGAAGAAACTCAATAAAGGTGTTGCTATCATTCTTTTACCAAAATTAAGCCTGTTGCGCTTTTTTTGGAATTCTCTTGGGGTGGAGAAAGCCTGTATGAGAAAATAGTGAATCCAAATCATCACGCATTTTAGTGACGGGTGGTATTTGGGATAAGCTAGTGCCTACATCGGTTATTCTAACGGATACCTGCTACCTCCTACCAGTGGAGGTACAGAGTAACTCTTCCCACCAATAGTGAATCAAAATCATCACTCTAGATACTCCAATGTTGTTGAATCTTCAGATCCTGGTAAACCAAACTCCTCATAACTGAATTTAGTTATAAAATCCAATTATGGAGATGACAACTCAACTTACATTATGCTTTGAGGATACCAAAATTATTCTGGTGCTGCCAACTTTATTTTCAGGAATGTAATCAATAGGCAAGTGAACTTGCTTACCCTTTTCCTCCCTTTCCTTAACACCCTCACCCCGTTCTCTAAGCCTTTCACTCTTTCCAGATGATGTTCTCATATCCCTTAGGTTTCACACGTTTACATACAATTCACATACCTTCTAATTTCAACTCCTTGAATTCTTCACTATTCTCATTGAATCCATCTCAATTCCGCAGGTAATATTACATCAGAAAATTCCTTGAAGCTGGCTTTAACCATCTATTTTACCATCAACCACGATGGAATCAGTTAGTAAATGTTGAAAAGCCTAGTGTTAACGAAGATTTAGGATTTGGGATGACACCAATCCAGTAACATCTGACATAGGAGCTACTTGGACCCAGTGGTACTTCTAGGTAAGGGAGGGAAAGAGGTAACCATAAAATGAGTGTCAACTGCTTAAATCATCACAATTATTTCTTTGGAAGTTGAAAGAATTCTCAGGAAACAATGACCAAACCAAGACAGTAAGATAACAATTTTGAATACTGTTTGCTATCAGCTAAATCCTGTTGCCACGAGGAAACAGAAACAGGCCACGACAAAATTACAAATCCTGAAATTATGTATATCCTCTAAAAATTAAGGTCCGTGCAAAGCAAATACCAGAACAGGTAATGATAGTTAAGGAATAAAGCAATCTCCATATCAGAATTAAAGTGGTAAGATCTCGTTTCCCTCTACAGTACTAAATGAAGAAATTGTTTGTTAGCTGCCAGGATGACACAAAATCTGAAATTTAGAAACTCCTAGAAGCTTCAGTCAGCAGACACAAAGAATAACAAATATTCTACTAAACCTCAAATACCAAACCAGCCAGGACCAGCTGTAAAAATCACCCATTCCACTCAGCTCAATTTGAACCCAATTGCATTCCATCACTCAAAAAGAATTGTATTTCAAGCAAATTAAGATATCTAAAACTAGAAACTTTCAACACTTAAACTAACATATACAAGTCTCTAACTTGCTAAAAATCAAGACTTTTCAAACAGATAAAGGAGAAAAGAAAGAGTAAAGTACCCCAAGAGATTGACCCGCAAGTGGATGCTCAATTCAATGAAAAGCTCATACATCTGACCCAAGTCAGCCGCATTTCCATGGGAATACAGTAAAGTGGAGGTAGCCATAGGATGCCTAATATACATGGCAACAATTTCAGTACCTTTACGAGTGGGCAACTTAAGTACTTCAACATTTTCACGGTGAGGAAAAGGGCTAAGCAGCAAAAGACCCGTGAGATCATCTTTAATAAGCTTATAAGAAGGTGGGTTTGGAGGAAAAAACGCAAACTTCGCCGCCATTGATGAAGTAACCCCTCCCATATTCTCCTTGCTACAGAAAAAAAAAACGATTTTTTGGGGTTTTCTTGAAAAAAAGAAGCACTGTATTGCAATTAAGTTGTTGAAATGGGAAAATTATAGTACTATTACTATTGAATGGGAAGATTCATTGTGGATCAATGAACATTCCTAATTCCTTTACTCTTTTAGAAGAGAAAAGAACTTTACACTCTGGATATTGTTTACTCTTGTTGACTACACTACACGACTAAAGCCGACAGAAAACGTGGAATAGAATGTGCTTATTGGTCGCTCATGGTCCCCTCTCTCTCTCTCTCTCTCTCTGCATTATGTTGTGTCTTTCGTTTGTATCATGTTTTATAATTGAGTGGAAATTATTCGGATGGTAAATATTTTCGTAACTTTAAAGATGTAAATTTGAGTTAGGAAACAAAAAAGATAAAAGCTTTACAAAAGGTTTTAATGGCTAAAACAAGAAAGAATTGCAATATTAGATCAAGTGGAACATGGAAGAAGGAAATTCTTGAACGTGGAAAGGGATCTAATAAATTTGAAATGAATGAGGATCTAAATAAATTCAAAATGAATAAGGAATCGTATGAGGGGAAAATCTTATATGCAGTAGAGTGTAATAAAAGTGACTTATATGAAAAAAAGTTTTTCACTATCACCACAAAAAAAAAAATTGAACTTTGTTTGGTAGGGCGAAGCCCCCAATTCTTAACCCAAATCTATGGTGGCATTTTGAATGAAGTTTTACAAAACTGATATTTTCAATATCATAATTTTATTTTAAATTAAGCACAAAACTCATTTCACGTTTTGATTATAGTTTATGTATCTAACGACTCCTTATTTCCCAAGTAAATGTAATTTGATGAAGAAACCCACTGAAAATGAATTTGCTAAGAAAGGTTGCACATCTAGTCCATAGAAAGAAACTTATAATATCGCAAGTCATAACAGTGCAGAATTATCTTGGCATATTGATCTTATAATATGTTTATATTAACTGAGATTTGGGAGATATGATTTCCATTATTAAAGACCTTTAACTTCTTCCAAAAAAAAGATGGGTAAAATGACAAAGAGAAAAACATGGTTATGTGTCGAATGTATAGGAACCAAGTCACCAACCTCATTTGAAAAAAACAAAAGGGTTAAGCAATTATTTGAGCAGAATGTCCGGATTTACAGCAGATTTGAGTTAAAGTGGCACAAGAGAAGGTACTATTTATCTTCCCCTTTGCCTAAAAAACTGCTACTAATCATTTGTTGTGATTTTCTCACTTGAAAAGAGAAAGGTGATTCATCTACTTTTCTTTTTCTTTGTCATCAAAAGAAGAAAGGGAAAACCTCATTCATTGTACCTTTCCACCTGCTTTGTAGTAATTGAGGTGGAAAAAGTACAGGTCTTCTTTTTTCTATGAATAGTACTGTCTAGACCATCTTGCATCCATCTCGACTAATGGTTGGACAGATGACAAGAAATCAGCTAATGTTTTTTTACTATCACTATAGGTTTCTCGATGGATTTAACAACAACAAAAAAGTTGAATTCTCTTGACACTTGCACAAAATACTGTTTCAATGGAATTTCAGTTCATATATACTAAGAGCTAACACCTGGCCCAGAATCTATGATTGTTTTCCTCACATCACCCCACATTGTTGGTATGCCCTGCTCTCTTTGGTCCATAACACAGAACCACACACCCAAGTACTACAAGTCCACAACATGAGAACAGGATGTACAAGTCGGACCAACGGACTGGTGACATGAAGAACCATAGCCCCCACTGTGATACTGCAACAAGATGTGACTCCATTAACAATCTTAATCACTCCAAGACAAGGGCAGTTGAGGCCTCTCAATCATATTAAAAGGAAACTAAACACTGAATGTGCACATGGTTTTCAAATCAATTCTAATGAATGCGTAAATACCAAAAGGTTAACTAAATTCCAACTCTGGCCCTACGAGACATCAAAACCCAGCCAGTTTCTGCTTGATAGTTAATCTTTATTTCCTGTGGTGATGAAATACACTTGAAATGATAAAATAAGACCCACACTTTATACCAGAGGGAAGAAAGGGGCACAAACAGTGCAGACAGAAGAAAAGAAAGACAAACTCATGTCCATGTGTGTCTACTGAGCAACAGTGATGCCACTTCCAGGATTATTTTTGGGGTCAAAAAACAGAGTTACCATGACACACTTATGTCATTCCTCTTTGTTTTCTCCAAGATATGAGGAGTCTATCAAAATATTTCTCAAGGAAACCATAATAAAAACACAGCAGTCCACAAGCAGCTCCTACCTTCAAAGCATCTGCATATGGTCATCAAAAATCAACTTCAGACATACATGCAGATTCAACTATGGGATGCTACTAGAATATCCGAGACAGATATACACAATAATAATTCCCATGCATTAAAAGGAAAATCCACAAGAAGTTTAAGAAGACAAACTTTCAATAAAAAAAAATTCTTGATCAGCAAATCCGAAAGGGCTAACCACATGTGTGGCTCCCCTTAATGTGGTATGATATGTCAATTAGATACTCGAACTTAGGTAGTGACCATATACACACCTGAACTCGGTAGAAATGTATCTCATAAACACACGAGTCGTACATGGCATAATGTGTGTTATGAAGTCATCATAAGCGCATGCTTGTGCTAAGCAAAAACTCCACCTTCATAACCTAAAATCATCCATTTTTACTACTCCACC